CCACTGCTTCCCAGCTCCATAGCAACGTGGTCAACTATGTCCAGCAGATCCTGGCGCCCAAGTGCAGTTAGAGGCTCACCTAGGTGGTCCCTGCCTCTTGGGCTTCAAGGGCTTTCTGAAGAATTGCTCCTTTCCAAATTCACGTTCTCACGTCAGTGTCCCAGAGTTTCTGTTCTCTGGGTTTGGGTCTCTGCCCTGGTGGCAGCTTCTGATCTAGAGAGTCCTGAGAGTCCAAGAAGGCCTCCCATGCTCCCCGTAGCCCAGGCTGCAGAGAGTAAAATGTCATTCTTTTTCTTTTCAAATAAATGTTTTTTAAGCAAGAAGTAGATAAGTTGGAGTTATAGACTGGCTCACTTATTTTTATTTATGTTTAAGAAATGTTCTCTCTCTCTCTCTCTCTCTCTCTCTCTCTGTGTTTGTGTGTGTGTGTGTGTGTCTGTGTGTGTGTGGTGATACACATGTGGAGGTCAGAGGACAACTTGTGAAAGTTGCTTCTCTTGTACCACTAGGTGGGTTCCAGAGATCAAGCTTGGGCCACCAGGCTTAGTGGCAAGTATTACCCACTAAGGCATCTCACCAGCCCCTGGGTTTTTGTGGTTCTTTTGCAATGCTCATGCAGTCCTTTCTAGCCTGGAATTCACTATGTAGACCAGGTGCAAACCTGTGGGGATCCTTCTGCCTCCTGAGTGCTGGGGTTATAGGCAGGGGCCAAAGTCACTGTTGGCTTTATCTTGCTGGTGACCCTCCGTGTCATGTGTGCATGGTTCCCCACCCACACAAGGGAGTTGCACTTCCTCTCTTCTCCCTCACATCCCTGGGGCTTTGCTAGGCCTCCCTGCCCCAGATCCTCACTAACTATTGTAATAGGTTGGGACTGGCAGAGTCTGCTGTGCGACTGTAGCTGAACTCTGATTTCCTGGTTCTATGTGGAGGTGGAAACAGTCTGCATCTTGGTTTGAGACTGGAAAAGACAAGAGAGAGTGCTAAGATAGTTGTCTTTCCTAAACACAGGGAACTTTGAGCTGGTCTCCGTCTGGCTTCACCTGTGCCTCTGCCTTCCCTACACAAAGGTGGAAAAAAGGCTGAGGTTCCATCTCTGACAAAGCCAGGTAGGAAGCAGGACAATGCCTCTGCCTCACCAACAGAGGCAGCCATGAGCTACAGGACAAAAGGCCCAGAAGTGCAAGGGAGGAGGAGCTGACCTTTATAGCTGACGTCACAGTTGATCTGTCTCAGGACTTTCCCACAGCCCCTTCCTTCCCTCCCCTTCACATTTATCCTGTCCTGAGACCTATCCATATTTTGTTTGTTTTTTTGAGATAGAGTTTCTCTGTGTATCCATGGCTGTCTTGGAACTCACTGTGTAGACCAGGCTAGCTTCAAACTCAGAGATCTGCCTGCTTCTGCCTCATGAGTGCTGGGACTAAAGGTGTGCACCACCACCATCTGACTTCCACTCACAATTTCTAGCATGGGCATCAGGAGTTGTGTGTCCTGTTTCACTAACCGTCTTGGCTCTGCTGGAATCCTATTGGGTCTGCTTGTGCTTTTACAGGACTGGGGATGAAGCTATGCTACTGAGGATTTCTGAGAAAAAGCATCAGGCTGCTCCCCCATGCTCAGCATGTGGGCAGGCTATCAGGAAGCTTCCAAAGCACTGACCTCATCCAATTCTTTCTCACTTTGCTCTATTTGACTGTGGACAGAATTAATACTCAGACGGATGCTCTAGCTCTCAGATTTCTGTAGCTTTGTTTCTCCCGGGAAGAAGCCCCATGAAGGCGATGGACTCTGTGGTCTTCCTCCTCTCTTTGCTCTGGAGACCCAACCAGCTGTTCTTAGGGGAAGGAGCATGTGAGTAGCCCAGAGGCTAAAAGCTGGTTCTCCCACATTCCAGGGTAAGTGACTAGGTAGAGGGTGTGTCTGCCTCAGGCTGCTTGGAGGAGGTCCCCTGAAGGGCCAGTGAAAACCCTACCCAGAAGCCTTGGCTTTCCAGCAGCCCTGACCTAGTGGAAAGGAGCCTGTCGTTCTGAAGATGAAGAGTGGATCCTGTGGGGGTGGATAGATTGTGTTCTTGAACAATGGGGTACCTAGAATATGGGGTACCTAGAATCGAAAGGTGTCATTTGAGGTCTACCTGTGGGTAGTGTGTCTGTAAATGGGGTGGAGAGAGGAGAAGGCACAGATCTTATATCTTAGATCCAGAAAGTAGTGTAGAGAACTTGCTCAATTCATGTAGTGCCCTAGGTTGTCTCCTCGGGTAATACAAATCCAAACCAGCTGAAGCTGCAAGGTATCTAATGGCTTATCGAGTCCCACACCCTCATTCTTTGCTAATTTTATGATTTTGCTTTTGAGACAATCTATTGTAGCTTAAGATAGTCCCTAACTCCAGATGTAGCTGAGGCAGACCCTGAGTGCTGGGATTCCAGACACATGCCACCACACTTATCTTTTGTTAGGCAAGAATCGCTCTACCGGCTGTACTCCACATTCCAGGATAAGTGACTGGAATCCTCACTTACTACATCCTCATCCCTACCCCCCTTTAAAAATTCACTGAGTGGGATGGTTGTAGCCAGAGGCAATGCATGTAGGGAAAAAGCACCAGCAACAGCTTGTTACTTTCCAAATTTGGTAGCCTGAACAAACCACTTACGAAGACAAGTATATATCAATTCTTCTTCCCTCCTCCCTCTTTCTTTCTTTTTTCTCTCTTTCTTTCCTTTCTTTCTTTTCTCTTTCCCTTTCTTTCTTTCTTTCTTTCTTTCTTTCTTTCTTTCTTTCTTTCTT